AAAACAAAACAAAAATAGCCTCTATGCTCCTTACTGCAGCACTTACTAGTCTTCTGCAGCATACCTTTCATGACTTCACAATGCTCTATTATATGGGCAAGGCATAATTTAACAGGTTTCTGTTTGGAGATTAAGGTACTTTTTAATTGTTTAAGCAATATTGTGCTGGTTAGCTCACATGGTTCAAATGTGGTGCTAATAAATAGTTTAGGGTCTGATATGGTAGAAGCTGGGTTGCTGTGTTTATAAGAATGCAGTATTTCCTTGAGGACATGGATCAGCTGTCATGAACATTTTTAAAGATTTTGTATGTTGCTAACTTCTCTAAAAAGATGTGGCCAATTCTATCAGTGTGTGTGTTGTTCCAATAGTGTACAGGAGTGCCAATACTGCACATTTATCATTTTGAAAAATGTTTGCCAATTTTCTAAGGCCAAACCAATTTTCTGCAGGAGATGGCTTTGAGCATTTAAGGATATGTGCTGGTAGACAGATGAGACTCTTCAGTTCTCTACTCTGTGTTTTGATACCATGTTCTAGAGTCGGCAGGCAGCAGGTAGCAAGGAGGAGGAGACTCGAATAAAGCATTCCCTGGGAGGAGGGAAAGCCTCTAGATAGGACTGATTGTTCCCTAGACCAGTGTGAGGAGCAAAGGCCACTGTGGACACAGCCTTCCATTGTGGACACAGGCTTTTCACTGTGGATATAGGCTTCCACTGTGTTGTGTTTATGTAACGAGACACAATGATTTAGGACACTATTGCCAACAAGTATATGATAAGTCTGGAAAAAAGTATCTGTGCTAAAATAGGATGGACTTTTGGCAAAAAAAAAAAATTAATTTGGAATGTGATGTATTGTGTCAAGTGACACGTGAGTTTTCTGTGTCTAAGTTGGCAGATATAGGCAACCATACAAATTGCCTTTCATATAGTGTCCCAGATAGAGCCTAGTAGCACTCCTGTCCATTTCCCAGGGTTATAATCTATGGTATACATGTATGTTTCATTTTCTACTCTGCATGTTTGCTTAATATAGATAGGGGCTAGAGAGACGGCTCAGTGGTTAAGAGCGTGCACTTCTCATAGAGGACCTGAATTTGGTTCCCAGCACCCATATCAGGTAGCTCACCATTGCTTGTAACTCCAGCTCTGGGAGATCTGAGCCCTCTTCTGGCCTCTGTGGGCACCTGTGATGCATATATGTACTCTCACATAGACACAATCACACATACTTTAAAAAACAGATAAACTCCCTACCCAGTTACTCTCTACCTTAATCTCATGTCCACAGATAACACATATTTCCATCTTGTTTACTTTTTAATTGCAGTACTTTCCTCTTTTTGAAGCCAGATCCTTGTGTACTTGTCAATCAAGTGGAGTTCTTTGCCCAGTCTCCTTGAGTACAGGATATTGCAACAGGAAGCAGGAACAGGGGCCCTGTGTTCTGGAATGGTGCTCACCTTCTTGTATGCCTGGATAATTTGCTGTTTCTGGAACTCACTGGTATCTGCAGCTACTTGGCATTAAGCAGGGGTGGGGATGGTCCAGAGTCATTCTGGGGTTGATACCAGCAGGGAAGCATAGCTGTCCTTCCTCTGGAGCCCTGACCATTATATACCCCATGGCAGCCAATGTAACTTAGAGGCCTGAAGACAAACACACTGTTACAACCCAGTGAGGACAGGGCATACAACAGGTCCACTCTATCTGCTTTTTCTATATGTTAGTGAGATTTACAGTTTAGGTCAAAAGAGAACCTCTAGGACAGGATGAGTGACTTGACCTTGACTATGAAACTTTTTTGGTTTGGGTTTCCATTTTTCTTCCAGCACTTAGACAGTAGCAGTGACTTTGGAGGAGGCAGGCGTGTGTGCATGTGTCTCAGAGGGAGGTCAGCTGTGAGTCGTCTGAATGAAAGCTCCCATGACTGGGGTGGACTGGGCGCCAAAAGGCCATCAAGATTAGGAAGGCTGAGTTATTACAGCCATGGTCCTTGCCATGGGTGTGACTGAAGCATTCCTAGGGATAAAAGCACCATTTTCTAGCTGGTGCTGGCTTCTGGCTTGGTCCTGAAGCACTCCTCCGGGCCTTGAGCGCTGTTGGCTCTGTAATGCTGTGTTCAGGTCCTCTTGCTAATTAGAAGATAGCAAAATGCAGTATGTACCAAGGATCCCACAGGAGAATTTCCAGGCTATATTTAATCCCAAGCCTACCTAACAAGTATAAGCTGGAGATTTCCCGTAAATGAACTCCATGCTATCTTTCAAGGGAGTCAAGTCCAAACTGGTTTGGTGTTTTTTTCTTATGAGGAACATACAGAACATACAGAACTTGGGGGTTACCTCCAAGTGGGGGCAGCTGGAGAGACTGAGGCGCCACAGATTTGGAACTGGGAACACCTAGTTGATGGTAGGGGGAGGTGAGTTTTGTGCTGTCGGAACAGGAAGCTGGCTTTGTCTGAGGAGTGCTGATGGTGGAGGCCTGTGTTTGGGGAATGCACTCAGGGCAGACTGGGTGCTTGTTTGCTTCTTCCTTTTGTTTGCTCTTGGGGACAGTGGGTAGCCTCTGGCTCTTGCACTCACACTGATTAGAGTCATGGGCAGGTAGCTGCTTTGGCAGGGAGGAAGAGACTTGAGTATTTTAACCATAGCTTGCTTTGCCTTCTAGAAAGTCCAGGAGGAGGAAGAGGAGAGCAATACCAGCAAGGTGCCCATCGCCGTGTCAGAGGCTCATCTCTGAGAGAGCGCACACTCAGCTCTCGGTTCCACTCAGCTCTCTCTGCCAGCACCAGCATCTCCAGGGAGAAACGTTAGGAGGGAAGCAGCTGGAATATGAGACTTGCATGGCAGTGCTTATGTCCTGGAACCTACCCAAGAACCTGGATGGTTCAGCTGGGGGAAGTGTCACCTTTCTCCAGATGCAGACTGGATTCCTATGCAATTGAGCTGGAGAGATGGCTCAGTGGTTAAGAACACTGGTTGTTCTTGCAGAAGACAGGTTCGAATCCCAGCACCCACATGGCAGCTAACAACTGTCTATAACTCCAGTTCCAGGGGATTCGACAGCCTCTTCTGTCCTCCGGAGGCACTGTACAACACAGGTGCACTTACCTACATGCATACACATGAAACCAAAAAAAAAAAAAAAAAGAAATTAAAGAGAAAATTAAGACATATTTCAAGTAGATATATAATAAACTATAACAAAATACAATATACCCAAGGCTGCTCTATTAATCTTAACACTTGGACTTTTCTGTTTCAGATTTCTCTTTTCTTTTTTGAGGTTCTAGGGATCAAACATTTGCCTCTGAGCTAGATTCCCCCATTGGATACTTCTAACAGATAAAGTATTACAAAGAAAATTTACAGAGCAGTGAAACCATCTCTGCACTCTTACACTACCCTGACATCCTTCTCCCTGCCCTTTCCAAAAGCAGCCTGTATCTTTTTTAAAAAATATTTTATTATTTTTTTTATGTGTATGCATGTATTGCCTGCATGTAGGTAAGTGCACCCATGCCATGCAATGCCCACGGAGGACAGAAGAGGCCGTCACATTCCCATGTACCTGGAATTAGGGATGGTTGTTATTTATGACTGAGAACCAAACTGAGGTCTGCTGGAAGATCAGTAGTTCTCTTAATTGCTGAGCATCTCTCCAGCCCCATCTTGTGAATTCTTGATTACTGGAAAAGATGATAGAGAACTTAATGAAGTTTTTCTTTCCCTTTGTAGGTTATATTTTTAAATTAATTGGTTGGGGTTTTTTGTTTGTTTGTTTGTTTGTTTTTGAGACAACGGTAACCTTTGCTGTCCTGGAACTTGATATGTAGACTAGTCTGGCCTTGAACTCAGAGATCCATCTGCCTCTGCCCGTCAATCCTAGGATTAAAAGCATACACCACCATGCCTAACTGGCATTAGGCTTTTAATTGCAGGTTATTATATGTAACTGTGTGTGTGTATGTGTGTGTGTGTGTGTGTGTGTGTGTGTGTGTGTGTGTGTGTGTGTGTGTTGATTTTGAGTTTCCACTTATGGAGGGATAAGATCAGGGTGCATGTCAGAAGTCCATGGATCAAAGTCCTAAGCTAGAAAAGACTGGAAATACCCAGTCAGCTTTGTAGCTGTTCTGGGTTGGAAGAGGGGAAAAGTGAATAGATAACAGGTAAGGATCAGTATGAATTGTTTTTGGTCACTCCAAAAGCACAGCAAACAGAAACCACATTCTTTATAACTATTAGCAATTCTTCACCATGGTGAAAGTCTTCTTTCCAGTCACCCTGAGAGGCAGAACAACTAACTATTATCATTTTATAGCTGGAGACCAAGGTACAGAACAAGTAAACAATGAACCATAAAGTCAGTTGCCTACAACACTGGGGGCAGCATGAGTTTTTCTTGTTTTCATTCTTGACCCCAGGTAGTTTCCACTAAACCACATTGCTTCTAAGAATATGTGTTCAATCTAGGACATGTAAACCAGTTTCTAGAATAAAAAATTTTAAAAATAAAGTTGGAAAGATCAAAGGGCTAATAGTCTTCCTTCAAATCCCACTTGAGTCAGTCTTCCACAGTTTCAATTAATTGGGTTTTTAATATTTGGCTCGCAAGATTAGTAATGAAAATCATTACCCTCCAGGGCTGCTAAGAGGAGACCGAGACAAGGTCATGTAGGTGTAGGTTCCTGGTTAAAAAAAACCTCCATGAATATTATTGCCTCCTCTGTTCTCCAGATGCTGAGGGATGGACAAGATAAAAGCATTTCAGTGTGAGGTTGGCCTTTTGACAGTCTCACCCAGTGGACTGAGCAGTGGCTGCTTCCAACCTAGATTGTGATGACTGCAGAGAAGAAAGCTTGAGCCCCCTCCAGTGGCCAGAACTAGGTATGGCATGGTCAGGACAAAGGGGCTAGGAGGCCTGCACCTGCCAATGCTTGGCAACATCCAGGGTCTCTTTCACCCTTACCTACTGACCTCCTCATGAGCCCCCATCAATTTACCTGCGGGTTTCTTCATGGATTTCTGTTCTGCTTAAAGAGGAATGTGAGAAAGGGTATGTATGGGGCTGGAGGGTAGTGTAGCTCACCAGTAGAGCATTTGTGGACTATGTTCAAAGTCCTGGATTTGATCCCTAACAATGTAAACTGAAACAACACAAAACCTCTGAAGCTAAACAGAGCACACCACTCTACTTTTTTTTTTTTTTTTTTTTTTTTTTTTTTTTTTTTGAATTAGGTTTTCC